CTCTCTCTCTCTCTCTCTCTCTCTCTCTCTCTGTCTTCATCTTCATCATCAGCCTCGGACCCACTCCTCTCTTCACCTGCACCAGGAAGCAAAACCAGCCATTTTTTGCTACCAGTCAACACTACCCACTGGAGAGAGAAAGTAGTTTTTGAGATGTTCTCTCTGACGTCTGGCATCAACAGTGGCGCGGTTCCCCCTTGCAGGTGGATGTGGAACATCTTCCCAGTAAGGTTCATGTCTCCAGGCCCCTGGTATAATATTGTGCTCTTCATCCTCGTGATCCACCTCATTGGCTGCCATCACCACCCTCTGCCTCAGCAGATTGTGCAGCACCACAGCAGTCTCCACCAAAAGTCTGACGGTCTCTACCTTCTGTTCCAGTGTTCCCAGCGGGCACCTAAACCTGTTTGCCAGGATGCCAAAGGCATTCTCCACCACTCTTCTACCCCTTGAGATCCTGTAGTTGCAGATTCTCTGCTCATCTGTCAGCCCTCTTCTACTTTATGGCTTCCCCATGTAGCTCTTCGGGGCAAAAGCATCATCAGCCAGGATGAAGTATGGAATGTCTGGCTCAGTTTCCCCTGAGAGAGGGCAAGGTGGGGGCAGCCCTTTGGACCCATCTCCTTGGCATTCAAAGAGTTCAGAGTCTGTGAATATCTGGGAGTCAGACATGTGTCCTTTACCTCCCAGCTCAATCCAGATGAACTTGTACTGTGCATTTACCAAGGCCAGCATTTGTATGGAGAAGAACCCCCTGTAGTTGTGGTAGAGACTGCCTGTGTTTGCTGGCTTTTTGATGGCTATATGTTTTCCATCCAAGGCACCAACTGCATGAGGGACATGCCACCTCTGTTCAAACTGCTGGGTTTTTCCATGCTTCAGGGCAGGTAGGTGGGTTGCAGACCTCATCTTTATACGCCTGTACAATGGCCCTGCACACTTCCGGAATCAGCTCTGATATGGTTGAGATACCACATCGGAATCCATATGCCAGTGACCTGTAGTTGTCCTCTGTGGCCAGATGTCTCAAGGTGATTGCCAACTTGAGGCCAGCAGACAGGGGGTGCCTGTAGTTAGTCTGCTGCTTCTGGATGACTGGTGCCACTCTCTCCAGGATATCATCGAACAGCTCAAGGGTCAATCTGGTGAAGTTTTTGAAGGCAGCAGGGTCTTCTAATCCGAGCTGTGTATCCAGGAGGCTAGTATATTTACCATGGTGTTATCTTCTTTGTTCAGTGAGCCATGGTTTGGTCCAGCAGCTCCTGATGAATGATCTTCTCCCTCCTGCTGGTAGTTCAACCTCCCTTTGTCTTTGCCGTTCTTCCTCCGCCTCAAGGGCTAGGATGTAGTTAGACAGTAGGGAGACAAACATCGAGTCTTCTTCAGCTAGATTATGCTCTGGTACATCTAGAACTTCTGGATCTTGTAGTTCTGCCATCGTGCTGTGCAGTCCAAGATGCAAAGATTTTGGGGATATGCTCTGATTCAAAAGCGGCATGAAATCGACGATCTCGAAATGTTCCTATGCGTAACACAGCTTAACAATGCACAACAGAGCTTGATAATCGTATCAGAGCGTGATTTAAGGCGTCATAATCGCACCAAAGAGTAATAATGCTTATCAAAACGTGATTTAAAGCTTAACAAAGTATAACAAGGCCTGATCAAATCGGGAAATAATTCATCCCCCAAAGCGTTACCAATTCGTATCAGAGATTATCACAGCGTAACATTACTTAGGAGATCGTGATATTTTTGGAAAAGTAAACTACTAAATGATGGCACTTTGATCACCGATTCAAAGCGCGGCATTCGCCGTTGGTGTGAACAGTGTATTATCTAACCCTAAAAAACCCTTACTCCCAAGATCTTCCAACATCATCATCATTATTATTATTATTATTATTATTATTATTATTATTATTATTATTATTATTATTATTATTATTATTGTTGTTGTTGTTGTTGTTATTATTATTATTATTGTTATTATTATTGTTATTATTATTATTGTTGCTGTTGTTGTTGTCGTCATTATTATTATTATTATTATTATCATCATCATCATCATCATCATCATCATCATCATCATCATCATCATCATCATCATCATCATTATTATTATGATGATTTTTATATTATTATTATTATTATTATTATTATCATCGTCTTCATTATTATTATTGTTATTATTATTATTATTATTATTATTATTATTGTTGTTGTTACTGTTGTTATTGTTGTTGTTGTTATTATGTTATTATTATTATGTTATTATTATTATTATTATTATGCAAATATTCCTACCTTAATTTTTAAAAATATTTTATTGCAAATGAAGCTAGCCAAGGCTGCCAGAGGCGAGTGTGCTACTACACCAACTGGTCCCAGTACAGGCCCGGACAAGGCAAGTTTGTGCCAGAAGACATCGACCCTAATCTGTGCACTCATCTCATCTACTCCTTCGCCAAAATGACCAACGACAAACTGACTGCCTTCGAGTGGAACGACGAAGATTCTGCGGGGTCTGTAGGCATGTAAGTGTGAAACGGGCTTTTTGAAATAGATCTAGATCTAGTTCCTTTAATTTTGTCAGTGAGAGTAAAATGTCCAAGGTTTTTATGTTGATTCAAGTGTCCCGGTTACAGCATTTCTTTTCCTAATATTTTTTACTGGTGAGCGCCCAGGGCTAATTTCTTCCATGACTCACCATCGTCATCGGCCATTCGTATCACTTTAATGCTCTCTATGTATTTCAGTTCTGGGCTGTGGTCTCCAGCTCTGTCCGGCTGTGTCCCATCTGAGCTGTATCAGAATCTAAACTCCTGCTCTTAGTACTTTTAGACCTCGCTTTCTCTCTCTCTTTCTTTGTGGATTCCATCTTAAGGCATAATGGATAATGTTTGTTTCCAGTTTAGATCAGTATGTCAAGTAAACGTTCACGTTCTCTGGATTAGCAGGAGAAGAACAGAAGCTCGCCACACTAGTGGAGCGGCAGGACACAACCTCAGCGGCATACGGCATGGAGATCAGGGCCTAGAAAACCAAGCTAATGACCAATAATACCAATGGCATCAACGCGGACATAAAAGTCAGTGGCGAGAAACTTGAGATCGTCAACAGCTTGAAATACCTTGGATCAGTCGTCTCAGATGACGACTCAAGACCAGAAATTATCTCCAGAATCGCACAAACAACAGCTGCGCTGTCAAAACTGAAGCCTATTTGGAAGGACAGAAACATCACGCTCAACTCGAAGATCAGACTAATGCGCTCACTAGTCATCTCGATATGGAAAAAGATTCAGACAACAGAGATGAGATGTTACCGCAGACTCCTTGACATCTCATAAAAGACTACATTTCAAATGCTGAGGTACAGAACAGAATCACGAACGCAGTGGGTCAGCATGAAGATCTACTGACCACAGTGAAGAGACGAAAATTAAAATGGTATGGCCACGTCACAAGATCCATAGGACTTACCAAAACAATCCTACAAGGAACTGTACAAGGACATAGAAAGAGAGGAAGGCAGAGAAGGAGATGGGAGGACAACACCGCAGAGCGAACAGGGAAGACGATGGGTAACAATCTGAGGAAAGCAGAGGACAAAGAGAAATGGCGAGAGCTGGTTTTCAGATGCAGTGGTGCCCCAGCGGTTGCCCCAACCACGGGATAGAAGAAGAAGAAGAATCTATATTCTCTCAATTTGTTTGCTCCCATTGTTGTTCATTTCTTATGATGTTGGGCCAATGAATAGTCTAAAACAGCCTTATGCGCTGCTCACTGGTCGAAAGCTCCGCATCCCAGACTCTAGCGTGGAGATCATCTGGAGAGAATGTTTAATATTTTTCTTAAGCAGCTGTTGAAAACAGCCAGTAGCTTTTCAGAGGTGTGTTCTGTAAGTTTCCATGCCTTCGATCCATAGAGCAGTAAACGTTTGACTTTGATGTTGAAAATCCGAAGCTTAATTTTTGTTCCTGTAATTTCTGAGTTCATTGCGTTTTTTAGTTGTGTGAGCGCACCTCTTGCCGTGAGTACGCTAGTCTTTACGTCCGCCCCCGTGTCCCACAGTCTTAACTATAATGCTGCATTATAAAAGAAAGAATAAATTTACTCTAGTGATGTTCTTCTGACGGTAATCTGATCGTTGATGGTGGTGTTGATCCTTAGTGTCTAGGTCTGGGCTGAATATATTGCAAGCCCTGTCATCTGTGAGATCTTTACAAGATTTCTCATGTTCTCTTTCATCAGTTGTTGACCATGTGCAAGTATAACAAAGTCCAGATCTCCAAGTTTGTCCATAATGTCCAATGAATTCCTGTTTCTCTGTATAATGTGGTAGATTTCATGATCCAATCGATTTTAAGCAGAAGCAAGAAAGGTGACAGTATACAACCTTGTTTTACTCCGATGTGTATGAGGTTGTAAACTGACCTTCGTGGATGACTCTGCAGTTTATATCTTTGTGGTATTCCATGCCAAAATGTAAGAAAATTTTCCATAAGGTGTCGCGAGGAGTGTTTTCGAAAGTCTTCTCGTAATTCATAAAGTTAATTAAAAGAGGTGAGCTCCATTCCAGTAACTGCTCGGCTATGATCCTAAGAGAAGTAATTTGGTCTATACAATATCAATTCATCATTACCTTAATTGATATTTATTTTCCTTTCATGACATTTCTCCACAAAATCAAACAAAAAATCCCCAGGTACCATCGATTCACCGACTTGAAAAAGCAGAATCCTCAACTGAAAACCATGATCGCTGTTGGCGGTTGGAACATGGGTACGGCTCCATTCGTGCACATGGCTTCAACGGCGGCAACCAGAAAAGTTTTCATCGACGACGCTATCAAGTTCCTGCGGTCTCACAATTTCGACGGCCTTGATTTGGACTGGGAATATCCAGGAGCCAGAGGAAGTTCTGCCGGGGACAAACATAAATTCACGTTGTTGGTTCAGGTAGGGGTCGTGAGGTTTAGAAAGGAACTCGTGAATAGCATAGGCTAAACATACATTGTTATGTGCACACATTCCACTTTTCTCCTACATCCTCTGATCCTAAGATAGGAAGGATCAAGCACCCAGTCATCTTGGATGAAGAAGAATAATATTAGAGGTCCGCAGTGAATTTTTTCTAATCGAAAAGAGAAGGGCCTGCGATACGGTTTGCCAAATGAAACAAGTTCGTAAGTCTTTCGTAGCATTTTGATAACAAATTTGGACACAATTATCTAAACTGGAAATGATCATTACCCACCATGCTTTATGATGGAATCCAGAAGGAAAGAGAAAAAAAGGGAGACCTCAAAGTACTTAGAGGAGGAGCTTCGGCTCCTTCTTACTGTTGCCTTTCAGCCACACCCCTGATCTTAGGGTAGGTAAGATCCAATACCTAGCCTTCTTGGAGGTCCTGTGTGAAGTTTTCGCACCTTAAAGATTCATTGGTGGTCCTAAAATCGATAAGAATAGGCTTCGGCCGCCACTGGGCGAGACTAGTTCTAGGCTTTTAACGTCAAGGACTTTTCAAGGTATTTTTACAAACAGTAATGTGTGTTCTTGTGTCTAGCGACTAGCTCTAGGTGAAAAAATAGAATGTTGTTACAAAAAATATTCTTTGCCTTCTTTCTTCTCTGGTAAGGGGAAAATGTTTAAATATTGCCCGGTATGTGTGCGGTAACGTTAATATTTCATTGTTAATGCTCTTAGTCTTAATTCTCTGTTTAATCTCACATTTTTTCAGTGTGCATTTAATACCGTTGATACGTTAGACCCACCACTTACTGCCTTGCGTTTTCTGAAAGTCCTATTGCTATGGTGATACGTTTTGAGGGATGCTAGATTGTCCTCCTTTGAGAGACCAAAATTACCATCGAGTGATTTAGGTCCTATTTGATAAAATCCTCCTAATTAAAACATGTTTTGTTACCTTCGATACAAACGGCCGCAGGTGGTGAAAATCGTGGCCAACAACGAGTTAGACAAATGCTACGTGTCACAGTTGACATAGTGTAATCAGATCATTTGTTAACGAATGGAATATAAATAGGCTCTAATGGACTTGCGGATAAAATTGACAAAGAAAAGCTTTGGCGTATGGGATCTAGAGTTGCATTTGATGTATGTAGTCGACCCGACCCAATCTGATGTGATCCTGAAGGTCGAGTTCATTTGAATTTGACCTATTTACATCCGTCATTATATTTCTTGCCCCCAGGAACTGGCTGACGCCTTTGCACAAGAAGCGGCTACTTCTGGCAAACCTCGACTCCTTCTCTCAGCTGCTGTCGCGGCCGGAAAGGACAAAATAGAACCAGCTTATGAAATCCCCGAACTGGCCAAGTAAAGTGTTATATTAATCATTCTTCCTGTTTTACTAAGAACATCTTTTTACCGGCATGAGTTGTACAGCAGTGAGCCCGTCGCACAGTGAAGACGCCAGTCCGATTCCTGTGTGGGGAAAGTAGGGTTTTTTTCTAATTGGGTACACGCACCTCTGTCTGTCTGCTGAAACATTGTTTCCCTCTCATCCTGTGATTCTCAAAGCAGCCCTTATTCTTAATAATTGAAATGGTGTCGACCGGTAAAGCTTCTACATTTTCTGCATATTACAAATAGTTTTCAGATTTCTGAAATGTTGATCCTTCATCAAGGTAGACTTACATTCTTGTACGATAGCTTCAGACGGTTTAGTAATTTGTACAAAAATGTACACAAACTTTGAACCTATTTGCCCATCCATTTCTAAACCTGTTGCTTGGTCTATCTACCTAACTACCAAGTAACCTGCCTAGCTGCTTAGGTACATAACCAATACACAAATCCACTTATTCTCCTACCTAACTATTTACCCACCTATTCACCCACCCATCTATCAATCACAGGAGTCTTGACATGTTCAACGTGATGACCTATGACTTCCACGGATCTTGGGACAAGAAGACAGGACACAACAGTCCTCTGTACGCCCACCCTGGCGATACTGGAGTCAACGCTGATTATAACATTGTAGGTTGTCTGACAACAGCGTTAAATCTATTATGAACAGACTATTAGAGAACACACAACACTTTTAAAATCTACTTTGGCTCACTCTCTAAGCCCATGTTGATTTTGCAGTTTTGTGCTATAAATGTATGAATGATCTGGCACCAAAATGTCATTCTAATTTAATATATGAGTATATGTCCTATATTACAACTTACGGTCCATTATTTAACTAACGACGACTTAAGAATGCGCACTGGAAATTATTTTTCTTTTAAATTGAAGGCAAGGATTTTTATAGCTACCCCCTACTGTGTTTAAAAGAGGCTTGATGTTGACTGCATTTAAAGCTGGTCTAAGTACATATTTAATTCTATTGGAGTCTTGTTTTTAGCCAGTTCACTTTTTCTTCCAACAGTGTAATCAATAGCCACAATGATTGTCCATTTGTGTAAGTGTTGTTGTTTTTTTTTTGGGGGGGGGGTCAAAACGTGGTATATTACGGGGTGCACATATATTTGAAAGGATTGCTATACTAGGAATGGGTCAGTATGCAATGCCCAAACACTTCCTTTCGATAACATCAAATTTAAAAGAAACGATAGTTTAAATGTGTCCTTTTTTCTACAGACACCCCCCCCCAAAAAAAATTTCTTGCCCCCCCCCCCCCCCCCCCCCACAGCCAATTCACTTCTAAATGTTTCTATCGCCCCATTAACTCATCAGGACTCTGCTATTAGTTACTACATTCAACAAGGAGCCCCAAAAGAGAAAATAAACGTTGGCTTGGCGACCTATGGTCGAAATTACATCCTATCCAACCCCAGCCAAAGCTATGTTAACGATCCCATCACGGGGTCCGGCCCTGCAGGAACGTACACCAGAGAGGCGGGGTTCAAAGCTTATTACGAGGTGAGTCTGTCCTGTTGACAGCTTCAGTTGTGGCGCAATTTTCCAGATGGCAACAGTTAATTCACACTTAGTTGATTTCGGGCAATACAATACGATTCAACACTCAGGTTTCCCTGTCTGGTAACTATTGTTTTCTGTAATGCTATTCGCTTATTGTCATTTTGTGTAAACTATATTCTGGTGCTTTATTTCCAAACTTAAGATACACTGGTCTGTGTGATTACATGTGTTAGGTTTGTACCGATCAACAGAGGAAGTTTTGGGAAGACATGTTGTCGAGCAAAATAAACACGGCGTACTTCTCATGCATGGCAATATATTAAAGTCCGAACATAAAACATCTAATAATTAGATTTCTGATGCATTTTCTAGTAGAAAATGGCACTATAAGCACAGAACTACAGAATGGAATAGTTATCTTGACAATCCAAAGGTTAAATCTTATTGATCACCTAAACTCACAGAGTCTAAATACAACGCTACCATCTGGGAAATTGACAGCCTTGCTTGGCTTTGTGTTAATTCGTTCGTTTGTGGTCCACGCTTGTCCAGAGTCCGCTGTGGGGAAAAAAACCTTCGTCAAATGTATTCTGTAATATTTTTTCCCTCACTTATGGACTTCTTGTAGCTTTAATAATTTAAAATTGTTCAGAGGGCGAATGCTGCTTTAATATGATTTGGAATGAGAAGTTGGTATACCATACAAAATGCAGGGGAAGATGTATATGTGTGTGTGTGCGCGCGCGCGTGTGTGTGTGTGAGTGTATGTGTGTGTGTGTGTGTGTGTGTGT